CTGTAGAACTCATGTAGTGTTGTGGATACTCCAAAGACCCAGTCCCGGAATGCTGTGCCGATCCTCAGTGGTCGTCGGTTTAGTCAATTCGAGGGACCCAGATTTGTTCCACCAGCCCATCAGCACTTCTGTAGCATAATTGGTTGATGAACACAAATCTATGCATTGTCGTCTTGCATGTGCAACCCCGAAGACCAGCTCCCCGTAGACCTATTCCCTTGGGACAATAAGAAAAAAATATATACACGGAATTCCTGTGTTTGTTGCCTGGCGCATGATTTAGCCAGATTTTACCACGAAATCGCCCAAATGCGCCACTTTGTCACACCACATCCTCCTCTAACTCTTCCTCTTCTCCCTCGTCAGCAACACACCTCGCCTCCAACCAGTTGATAACCCCAGCCATATATGACCTGTATACGGCGTCAAAGCACATTGTCTGATGCATTGCGCCGTCAACCTTAACCAACTCCGCAATAACCTTCCTGTTTCCCAGATTCCGCACCAAAGCCTCGCTCTCCTCCATCAATACAGTGGCATCCTTCTCTCCATGTACCACATACGCTGGCGGGAAGCTCTCGTCGATCAATAACTCGGGCAACAAACACCTCGCCTCCTCTGGTATCAAACTTTCCAAGTTCACATCACCAGCTTCTCGGAGCTTCTTCGATAATCCCGGTATTCCCGTGAGCAAATCTAGCTTCAGCCCGCGGCTCCACACCACAGGGGCCAGTGCCATCCGCGCCGCAAACTCCTCCTTGTCATTACCGAGCTGTGATAATGGGCCTACCTTGCGCATCTCCCTCCCCCCATTAAGATACCCCTTCAACTCCTCTGGCACTTCTGCTAGCGGCTCTTTCTCCCCAAAATAAAACGGACTCAACACCTTCCCGCCCTGCGCAGCGACTAAAAACATGCCCAACGGTTTCGGTTCCCAGTGCGCGGCAGCTAATTGCGCTACATATCCGCCGGCCGAGTATCCAGCAACAAACACATTCGTCACCGACAAATTGTGTTTCGGAACGAGCACGGTGTGGTAGTGTGAAAACAAGGCGTTGAGGTCCGCCAATATGTCGTGACCCGTGAACGGGACGAGTTTACGGTAATCGTAGGTGAGGAATACCCACCCTTTTTCCGTGCAGTCATCTGTTCCCGCCATTAGCGAAATACGGTTCACAAATGCTAGACCGTTGGTAAGCCGCAGGGAACACCACCCAGCGCCACCCGCGAGTCACGGATATAGAGTATACCGCATAGACCGCGCAGAAAAAACACCCGATTTCCATATAGTAGCCCGCCTCCGTGGAAAAAGAGTACAGTGGGCCTCGGCCACCCAGGATCGTTTAGCGGGAGGTGGACATCAACTTTGAGTTCCACTCCGGGCGCAGGGGTTGAGTATGTATAGGTCTCCACCTTCAGACCTGGTGGTTCCCGCGGTGGAACCGGCTTCGGGCGGTGGAACAGGCGCGAGAGGTTAGGGAGGCAGGTACCCATCGTGTTACTGTTGGTTGAGACAGCGGCAGACTAGATGGTGATGCTGTCGCGTACGAAGCACAACAGGAGGTCGGTGCGGCTCGTTTTACTTGGCCACCCCCTGGATCCGGAATCTGAAACAGCTTTCGTCACATCTTGTCGGGGATCCTGGGGACGGTCTGTTTTGCTGTGGCGAACGGAAGTATAGGAAGAGCAAATATGATGATGTGAGTTGTTGTGAATGGCCGAAGAATGAACTGGTGAGGCAAGAATGATAGCTGTTATGCGACAATAAGGCTTTTGGAGTCCATAGGCCAATTGAGTATGGTGGAGTTGTGGTGGAGTGGGGAATTGAGAGATTCGTGATTACTTATACGAGGGGCGTTGGTTGTCAGGGAGACACAAACTCGAGGAATTTGAAGATTTGGCTCGGCACTCCAGAGATTCTCCCAAGATATGTCGTTCGAAATACCGAATGTGCCTAAGCACTACTCTTGCTCCCCATTTTCTCTCGCTCTTTAGGCGAAAGGCAATTAAGCGCGCGTCGTCTACAACTCCATCAAAAGTGACTTGCACCCCAATTCGGTGCAACAAATGACAGATTAAGGATCCTTTGAAGTCTTTCTCATATTACATCCACTTTCCAACCCCGAATTCGTGGTAAAATTGAGAACTTAGTGATTGCATGAGTTCCTTCACTTTTGCAACATGTACACTACATTAATAAAAACCCCTCTTTGTTGATACCGTACCTCCTCTAATAAACTATCTTTCACGGATTACTTCGGTATTCACGACACCGTAGAAATGCTTGATTAGTAGCGAGGTGAGACTATGCTCTGCCGTTTGGACCCGCGCGCCAGAAGAATGTCAGTCCAACTCGTTCCATCCGATGAAACAGCGGCCCGTCCCATGTGCGAAGCACACGAGGTACCACGTTTAATCGAGACCTGTCTCTCGGCTGAAGAGATGAATTGGTGGGTGTATTTACGCAACTGCAGGGTTTTCTAGAATATCTTCCAATGTAGATGTTACGGCCTAGCAAGGAAAACCGAAGCAAACCCAATAGATACCGCAAGCATTAACGAGTAATCCAGTATCCCACAACACCATGGATTCCCAGCACCCGACAGTCTAACTCAACGGTACTACAAACACCCGGTGCTATAAACACCAAGGCTGCAGGCTCGAAACCTGTCGTGGTCACTCTTTTGCACTACGTTTAATCCAGCCGTTCAGCAGTTCTGACACCTGTACCTTTCATTTCCAGCTGCGTAGACACCAATTACCTACCAATGCAATTCCATGGGTTAGGATTTCTCTAACCTAGGCCAGAATATACAAGCACAAGACCAACAAGCACGCGGTAGACAAAAAAACAGTGATCATTGCAGGTTTTAAGCCTGCCAACTCAATGTTTCAAGCACCAATTGAGGACTACAGTTACAGGTTTCGAACTTGGTTTGTTTTTTTTAGCAGCACGACCCACTAGTTAAACTACGCCGCGATTTGTTAAAACTATCTCAGACGCAGCCATCATCACACAGCGATGACAGGATAAATAAAGAGTAAAAGAGTAATCCTGCAAGTTTTAAACCCACGAATTCAGCGTTTTCAGCACTGCCACAGATTTCGAACCTCTACTTGATGTTTCTAGCACCATGCCCTGCCTGTTAGACTAGACGGCCAGTTTTTGTTCTTATGCGGTTTCATCTAGTATCATAGTATCTACAAGAATCACCCATTACAAGGTCGGCTGGGTTCTGCGACAGGACGAAAGATGTGCAAAAGAACGATCTTATATTAGCAGGTTTTAAACCTGCCAATTGAATGTTTTTAACCTAATCGAGAACTACAGATTTCGAACCCGCTTTGCAATTTGGTGTTTTAGCACCATGACTTACCACTTAGACTAAATAGAGGGTCAGTTCGTATGTCTCATGCGTTTTTAGCCATCATAGCAGGCACGAGATTCAATACATTGGCGGCTGACAGCTACGGCAGGAAATAAGTGCAAAAAGTGACCCCGCGAACCCAGTGTTTTCATCACCCTCGAGCCCTACAGGTTTCGAACCTGCACTTGATATTTCTAGTAGCATGACGTCCGTTATTGTATCATAGGCGAAGAAATTTTTAGTCATAGTCACAGCAAGTGCGTAGATCCTCCGTTACGAAGCCTCTGCGGTGGGATAAGCGAAAACCAAAAAAATCACCCCGCAGGTTTTAAACCCACATATTCAATTTTTTCAACACAATCGAGAACTATAGACTTCGAACTCGCGCTTGATATTTCCAGCACCATGTACGGAGGCCGGTTAGGGACATACCTTCATAATTCAATACCGCAACCACACGAAAAAAAAAAATATCGCCACAACATCGCAACATCATTTTCTTGTGGTAACATATGTCTTTGTGGCATAATGGTTAGCTGACAACTATTCAAAAGCGGATTCCAACACACTGGGTAGTTTATCTATTTTTGAGGTCCACAAGTTCTGAATACCAAATGAATGGTGGTGTTCTTAATTTGTCCACAAAACCAGAGGGTGCATATAATTAGACTGCACAGCTGCTATAGATATAATTTACCCCAAACTTGTAGATGACCCAGACTATATACATTGGGATGATAGAATTGAAGATGGTGGAATGGATATGGAGATAGAATAAAGAAAAAAGACATGCTGCAGGTGGACTCTTAGTAGATTATAATAAAGAAAAACAGAATAAATTAATGCATATTAAATGGGTTACCTAAAACTGGCCTCTTTCCCTGTGAAAGATTTGGACTACTAGTACTTAAGCAGTTGCTAAGTTTATTAAAACTCTTGACATTGTATATTTTAGGTGTTGTGTACTGACATTTTCTTGTGTGGTTGCGGTGTTGAATTATGAAGGTATGTCCCTAACCGGCCTCTGTAACCATGCCCTGTCTATTAAACCAGGCGGTCAGTTATATCTCATGCGTTTCTAGCCAATACCGGTATCTACCATTTTTCTTGTACCCATCCTGGAAAATTGAACCTCTCACTCGCAAGCGTCGGGTGACGAAGAAAATCTATCATAGTAATTACAACCGCAGGGGGATAAACGAAGAGCAAAAGTGTAATCTTAGCAAGTGTTAAATTAACTTGGTGTTTTCAGCACCCTCGATCACTACAAGTTTCGAACTCGCTCTGTGCTCTGGTGTTTTAAGCACCATGTTCAGTCAGCTTAGCTAGCTCACGTGTTAGTTATAGATATGCTCACAGTCGGGAGGTTGAGGATTAATAAGATATCCTTTTTCAAACGTCCTTTTCATATAAACCCACAGGTATACCGGCAGCACTCTTTCAGTTTCCACCTATCTATATGCTTTAAAGTACTTCCCGCTTGTATCCATGTTTTTCGTCAGGTGTGTGTTGATCTGCAGTACCGCTATCCAGTGCATATATCGTACATCTTTCTCCTCTCCACTCATTCCCCACCTCACTCCACCCTCCTCGCCCTCCCCTCCGTAGCCAACAAAAACAGAAAAACAATAATGATACGAGGGAGATTCAAACTCCCGCCTCTTTTGAGACCAGAATGCGCTGTCCGTTTTCGAAACAGAAGTTAGTTCTCTAAACCCGAGTCTGGCGCCTTAGACGGCTCGGCCATCGTACCGTTGATGTTTTTGGTTAGTTGGTGATTATAAGGAGGAAAGGAAAGTTAGAGGGAGAGGTTGGCGGGGTTGGGTGTAGGATTACAAGTGTGGAGAGTTGAAGCTCCGAGAAATTAATTGCATCAATAGCAATGCTACGTCCATTTTTGCATCTGCATGTCACCGGTCCCACAAAGCATATTTAATGTGCATTAACAGTACCCGTAGTACAACCAATATTTCACAAACCTCTCGCATCACCACTCTACCTCCTCAATCTAAACCGACATCACCTTCCCCTCCCTCTCCCCTTGCTCCTCCTCACCCCACCCCACAAGTATCCCCCTCCTCACCTCCCTAACCCTCCCCCACAACATAACCGCCGCAAGCACCAACTTACTGCCACCCCTCCAATCGCCCACTAACGCCAGCCTCCCATCCTTCACCGACCCAAAGCTAACACCAACACACCCAAACGCGCTTGCCACCTCAAAGACAACCGCAAACACTCCATCTTCACCAATCCCATCAATAACACATATCAACCACATTGCGGCTGCAAGGTACCGGAGATCGCCAGCGCGCATTAACCCGCGGAGCTGCTGCGCGACAAAGCCGCGGGCGCTTGTTTCTTTCACGGCGGCAAACTCACCCATGGTTGGTTCTTTACTAGTATTCCCGGGCTCCGGATGGATCTGGTCATGAGCGGCATTGCTGAGGTCCCAATTGTTTGTGTCAGGAAGCGTAATCGGGTAAGCGGAGATATACAGCATAACCGTATACGCCATCAACGTGCCCGTATGCAACTCCCTAATCGCAACAATCGCGAAGCCCCCTGAGCGGACACTGAAAGCCTGGAAAAGGCCCGCAAGGATTCTTCGTGGGACAGGGAGTGCAAAAACGGACGGGGTTGCGGGGGCAAGGATTTCAAAGATAGTCCAATCGATGGTGTTGAGGATAATGAGCATTGCAATGAGCCAGCGGGTTTCGCGGGTAGAGAAGAGGTAGGGGAAGATCCTATGGGCTTGTCTGTCGGTGCAGAGGAGGGAAAGACCTCTGTTGCTGGGGAAGAGCCGGAGGATTGCTTTTAGGAAAATGGGGAAGCAGGAGTTGCCGGCGAGGATCAGGATGCATTGTACCCACACTACTAAGCTGCCGCGGGTCGCAAACGGGGTCATGTTTGCGTCCAGAAGTGACATGCCGGAGTTGTTGAATGCAGAGACGGAGTTGAAGGCGGCGAACCACCACGGGTTGAGGTTGTTTACTGCTACGATGTCCAGTCCGTAATGTGAGACCCAGGAACCAATCAAAATTGTGCCCAGCAGTTGGAAGACGACGAGATATCCCGGGAGGAGCCAAGAGAGCGTAGTAAGAGCCAAGAGGGTATTGTCATCGTTATCTGATTCGTTTTGCTTCAACAAGTCCACATTGCTTCCATTCTTCGAGGTAACGGCGGTGGCGGTCGGAATAACCAACGTTTGAGACGAAGCATCACGATTCGGACCGCGTAGACGGCTGGCTTCCAATAAATCCACCTTGCTGGTATTCGCAGAGGAAGCGACTGTCGTGCATGGCGATGTGCATCCCTGGGGAGCACCCAACGGGGGGGTTAAAGAAGGAAAGATAGCAGTTTTGCCACCATTTGCCTGGGGAACAGAATTCTCAACGACGGGAGAAACACGCACAATGGGAGGCGAAGGAGGGGCGTCGGTTTTTTCGGCGTCCTGTTTCTCCATGCCTTCACCTCCCTGTGCTTTTCCCGCCTCCTTCCTCTTCTCAGCCTCCTCCAAACACCTGCGATGAATTTTCCTCGCTAGCAACACGCGCTGAACATTAGCCACGCACGCCGCAATCCACACCTGACTTCCCAGAAGAATCAACATGAAAGCGACGACCTGCTGAAACGCGCTCAACCGCGACAAGACCACCTATATACCCTCCACATCAACACACACACGCCCATCGGGGGTTCGGGGGGACCAACATTCCCCAACCCAGCGCCAGTAGCACTAGTTACCCCCAAAAACACCGCATCCAAATACGACAACTTCTCTCCGCTATCTGCCCCCTTCCTCTTTCCGACTGTGTAAAAGATGACGGACGCGATCAGACACAGGATTGAGAAGTAAACCGCGTGCCATCCTAACGGTCCCAGATGGCGACGGCGCAAGCTGGCGGGTCGGACTCTAAAGAATGGCTCTGTTCACAACGACGGAGGGAGCAGAATCGAATCAGCCACGTGTATTCTGTGGGGGAATGAGAGAGAACATACCCACCATCCCATCACGGGGCGGCAGAACTCTCGGGGTATCTCGACGGTCTGCAAAGGATACACGGTTGCTTGTAAGCTGCTGGTGTGTTTAGCCAGCACGTATGGTATGTGGTAGAGCGATGACGACAGCTGCTGGGCTCCTTTCTGTGCGGAAGGAACCTAGGAAGTTGTCGAAGATATGTGTGTCTGGAAGCTGAAGCTGATTGATTGATTGCACAGGCTCGTCGGCGGTGGTGGTGGCGAGTTGGGAGGTTAGGATGTTAGCTTTGGGGGGTGCAATTCGAATTTGGGAGGCATATGCGGTCTTTATAAGATTTTCTTTTAGTTAGCCCATGTTGAAACGTTAATCACTCATTCTACCCAATCCAAGACGAACCACGATCCACAGTTATATAGGGGTTATGCGCACGAAAATATGTTATAGATGGCCATTCAATTCCCAGGCTTATGCTCAATGATGAGTAGCGAGGATCAAATTCAAATGCTAAACTACTCTACGTTAATGCTTGGACAATTGCTCTCTCGCGAGGAAGACTTTATTCGGACGGAAGCTTGCAGGTTTAAGAGTCCGCCTTAAGCTTGGCATACGGAGATGAGATGGATGAGGGCTGAGATCCGAGCGAGGTGTAAGTAGCGAATAGGATCTAATGTACAGGAGAAACAAAATGAGACTGAGGCGATGGATCGATATCCCAATTCTTTAATACTCCACAACCTCCAACCAAAAACAATGAAACCACAAACTCTGACGAAAATCCCTTTTGTGACAGATATGGTGGCGGTCTAGACATATCTTACAAGAAAAAAACGCCAGCAAAAAAATGCAATCTATTCGGTACAACCCAGTAGGAAGAAACAGAAACTGTAGTCTCTAAAGAGTCACCCATTTTGTTACTCCTCGGCACAATCAAGGTGTGAGGAAAATTGGAACACCGCCGAGTAGTCTACTCTAGGGGTAACTGTCGTAAATGAGTCCCGGAGCTCCGTGGGTTGTTGGTGGCTGGTGAAGCTGCTGCTGCTGCTGCTGCTGCTGCAGAAAAATCTGGTTTTCTGGAAGTCTGACATCCGGAAGCATAGTGTAGTTGCGGGTCTGACCATAGCCCCAATGTTGCATGTTCTGGTTTGCGGCGTAAGTCTGAGGTGGGTGGTGTCCAATGCTCGCGAGATGCTCCCAGCGACGTTCTGCGGAACCAGCATGCGGCTGCTCAGCATTAACCATAGCCATGTTTGGGGCTGCATACTGCTGAACAGCCATCTGCGGAGGAACATATGGTACAAGGTTACGAGCCTTGGACAGCTTAGGCTTCTTCTTCTTGGGTTGCTTAGGCGGCTTAGGCGGCTTTGGCGGCAAGAATTTGGCACCCTTTCGACTTCTCGTGAGAGGGGTGGTTGGTTTGAGGATCTTACGATCCCGACGGGTGATCTTCGGAAGAACCAGTCCTTTGGGATTCAGTGGAGATTGGCTCTTCTTGTCGAGTGGAACGCGATTGAACGTTAGGTACGAATCCCGAAGTGCCGGGTCCAATCTCGCGATAGTCCAGTCGATCCAAGGTTCGATCAGAACCTCGAACCAGGTTTGGAGTTGTATCCAACCCCGCTCTTCTCCAGCACCGTCCTCAAACAACCCACCAACCGCGGCTTCAAAAATGTCAGCTTCGACCTTGAAGCCCATTGGGCCTTGCGCCTCCTTTTCGCGCAAAAGTTTATCCGGAAATTCATAGGCACGAGAAAAGGAGCTAAATAGGGCGTTGGAGCGGAGGATGTCGTGCAGTCTCTGCAAAAATCGTCAGCAAGGCCCTCCTACAAAGACTCGCAAACCTACAGTCATACCGCCTTCATTGATCTGGTACATCTTCATCATGCTGGCGGAAATTAAGGCATTAAGGATTGAATCTCCAAGGAACTAACGAGCGATAAGTAAGTGCATCAGCAGGACACTCAGGGACATGCATGCCTCCAACCGTTCGTTGCCCTCAATAACCTTTCCCTCTTTAAGTAGGCTCCTTGCATAAGGCTCTGAAATCTGACAACCGTTAACATCAACTGTCAGCATCTATAGTAAGGTCAAATTACAAATGCCGTGTTCCATCCGCCACGCTTCGCATATACTGGTAGTTTCGGTGGGTAATCCACGCTTGCAGCCCGAAGGGCCCGCATCTGATCATCGAATTCCTCGAAGGACGGAAACCAAGCTTTAGGGTAAACTTTTGGAGCAGAGGTAGTCATGAACCCTCCCACCGACGACGGTTTGGGAACAAATTTCGTCGTTTGGGGTATAAACTTCCACGGTATAGTCCCAAGCTTACCGGCCAATGCTTCTACCAATTCCCGCATCAGCTTTTCCAGGCATGGAGTCCCACCCTGAAAATTGTCGCCCCGGAGAATGTCCTTTGTGAGCTTGAACATCTTTGCGCCGTGCTTGTGGCCGTCGAGTTGGATAACACTTGGCAGCTCCGACGGGTAGTCGCTAGAAAACGCCAACAGCACTCTCCACTCGCTTGACCCCGCCACACAGAGCTCAAATGTCGCAGGTGGGGCCTCCAGATTGATACACGGAACCCGAAACATCCCATTCACTCTTCCAATCTCCTCAAACAACTCGGGTGACAGTGCGAGCTCTGGTGACGGCGATCGAGCTCGCTTTCCGAGAACTGACGGTGCAGGAGGGGCTAGTAAGAGAGGTCCGGGCTTCGAAGAATCTTGGATACTAATCAAGAGCCGATCAAGATCTACCTCGGAATGTACCTTAGA